GAGCTGAAACAGCAGGAAATGGCCGAGGTGGTTCGTTCCGAACTGGGTCTCGAAGCCGTCCTCTGTGCGGCTTTCTGGTGTGGCCATTACGCCGCCGTTGTTGATGAGAATGTTGAGTTTGTCGCTTTGTGAGAGGAAGGAGGTCACTGCGTGTCGGATGCTGGAGAGACTGGCGAGGTCCATGTGAAGGAGGCGGATCTCGCTTTGAGAGGTTGAGGTTGTGGTCGAATGTTTGCCGTCTGCATCAGAGGCAGGGCTAGAGTCAGAGTCAGACGTGGGGGCGAGAAGATCGGCCAGCACGTTTCGGGCTTTGGGGATGTCGCGGACGGCGAGGAAGAGGGTTGCGTCTGTTTTGGATAAGGCGCGGGCGGTTGCGGCGCCGAGGCCGGAGGAGCAGCCTGTGATTAAGATGACTTTGTCTGGGAGGGCGTGGGTGAGGTTTTCCGTCTGGATGATGGAGAGAGCCGTGGGGTGGTTTTCCATCTTTTGGGCCAGTACAGTGTTCGGCTCGAGCTGAGGATGTCGACTGTGAATGACTGAGGTTCTCTATGGGGTATATGGTATATCATGGACCAACCCAGGGCTTGGTAACTACGTCAGAATGGCGACGCACCCTACCACACCGGAGGATGAAGAGATTAAAGTATATACCTGGCTAATCTATCGCAATGAAACGGAAACCAGCTCCAGGCTGTCATATAGGAATCCACCCACACCGCGGTGTCTCTGACACAGCACACTGTCAACTATCATCGAAAAAGCCGCCCCCTCCGCAGGGAACGCGCAAAGCTGCGTAACTTTCTAAACGGATTGCGCTTCCCGCGCTTCTTCCGGTCTGACGAAGACCTCTTGGTCGACTCGCTCCGCTGCATCTCATCATACTTCATCGCGAGAATATCGTCCGTGGTGCTCGTCCATCCTGCCCCGTCGTAGGAGGCTAGAACTGAATACCCAGGCTCCCCGAGCTCACTTCCGTACGATTGCGCTGTCATCGGCCTGGACTGGGGAGGGGAGCTCCACTTGTGTGATTGCGGGATATCGGTTTCATTTCCCTCTAATCGTTCGGAGATGGACGGCATAGGTTGATACGGTATGTCGCCGATGAGTTCGTAGTGGACTCTTTCTTCGTCGGCATCGGAGATGTAATGGTCGTGAACCTGGTTGTAATCATGGCTCGCCTCAACGGTTTCATCTTGCTCCAAGATCAAGGTCTCGCTCTGAGGCCGTGTTGCGTTGAACGAGTCTCGCTGGTCGTCTGTGATGGACGAATTATCCACGTCTTCAATATATGAGACTATGCGGGCGAATTTTAACGATTCATGCGGATTAAGGATTTCGAAAGACGTCCCCTGATGCTCGATTGTGGCGGTTGGGCGTCGCAGCTCCAGCAGCATCGAGTCCGAGCGGGCTTTGGTATGTCCGGGAGTGAATGTTTGCTCCTGTGCCTCTGCCTCTGGGAACCGCGCGAGCCTAGCTCGGAAAGTTTCCTATATTTTGTCAGCTCTGGTAACCGAGTGATTTGCAGCAAACTCACCAGCAATTGATGCGGACTATGCAGGGGACTCGGACGGAGCGGTTGCTCTGAAGTGTTGATATCTAAGAAACTGGATGGAAAGGAAACTATATCCGTTAGCATATGCCCACATCGCATGACGGTGATTCACACGTACGGAGTGATTCATCAAGCCCAGGCCCATTCTCACCTCGGTATGAGACGGGACTGGGCGTATATGATGGAGACAGCGGAGGCGGGCTCGACGCCGCAGACGAGACGGAAAACGAACACAATGGAGGTGTCAAGCTCGTTTGGCTTTTGTTCAGATCCAAGGCTGCGTTTTTACGCCGTAGGGTCTTCCCTCCGTTGCGATTAAGGGCGATGAAGCCGTCATCCTGCGAAAGAAACCTCCGGTAGTGGTGCAGGGATAATGCTCCCGGATATCCCAGCTTCGGCGTTGCGGCATCGAAGGCGGTCGATGAAAAAGAAGGAGAGTCCAGAGTTGGAGATTTGAGAGACTGTTTTAGTGGTGGGTGAAGCTGGAGAGGTTCATGGCAGCCGCTTTGCCAGATCTTATGATCATGATCGAGATCCATGATAGCTTGTCTTTTGAAGGCGAAGAGATAGGTTGCTTCCGCTAAAAAACAAAAAATTAAAAAAAAAAAAAAAAACAAAAAGAAGACCCTTAGATATAAAGGAGCGATAATAGAGAGCCTGTCAATTGAACAAGGCCACTGTCTGACGGCATTGAAGGTACAAGTACAGGTGCATGAGGTCAGGATGTATTCCGATTTCCGACCGTTAGGGCCATGAATCAAGACAAAGAAACAGACATTATTGTTCTAACCTTCCGCAGTCAGACTATAAACAAAAAAGGAGAGAAGAAGAAAGGGGGACGACGAGGTTGTAAATGATAAAAAGAAGAGACAGATGGGCCCCGGACAAAAAAAGAAACAAGCAAACGTCACATTGTCAGGTCAAAAGCAATAAATCATGGAATTAAAAATAACCAGCATGTATTGATTTTCTTTCTGCATCAAGGGAGCCCTGTCGCTGCTTCTGGGCGCCACATAGAAGGATTAAGACCACTCACTTGGAATAATGAACACGCACTATGTAGTAGCCCCTTTAAATGTTTAGATAGATTTGATATTGATTAACTTACTGTGGAGAGAATGACAGCTATGTCTGTTGCCCCCAGAGTGCTTTTTACTAAAGCTGCTACTGTTAAAGGCCACCCGACTTACCAGTGATTGCCCCTGATTAGATTGCAAAGGAGGATTCATAGATGAGCAGATTAGAACATCACTCCTGGATTCAAGGATGGACATCCTTCAAAAGAGCCCTGTCCGACTACTTTCTCTTAAAGGATGCTGTCATTGCCATGGACGGAGTAACAAAGCTTGAGTGTCAGAAGTACAAGTTAAAGTGGCTCGTAACCTCATGTTTGCATCAAATCAAAGAGATAGCACCTGCTATAGAATCATGCATGCCACAGTATTATCCAACTCAATAACCACTGCAACAATATCACAATAGGCATATTTGTCATTGGATATCCTCTGTTCTTCAGTGATGACAGTTTAACGGGGCCAGCATTTCAATCCCTTGCTCCGATCATGCCACTAATGTTTCATCGCTGAGATGGTTTCAGCTGGTTCTATACAGATTAGCCAGTTAGTGCTGAAGGATTCATATTACCGTACTTAGCCAGAAACACAGCAAGAATGATAACAGTAAGCAGATGTAAGAGCTGCATTCCCTGCCAAATATCTCTGTTTGGAGACATGTGTCTTCAGGTACGGTGTTATAGGATGATATCCTGCTAGCAAATATGTTCTGATTTGTCACTGGCTTGGGACACAAAGCAGTCAATTGAGGTGGCTCTACCTAATACTTAGTGTCATGTCTTTATCAGCCAGACTTAGGGACTGAACCTACTGGCTTTGAGATCTGGAACTGCCCTGGTTGTTGCTTGATCCAGCATGCTATGGGACTGTAGCCTCCATACTGGGAAGAGCGAGTAAGCTCCCTATATTTTTGCATCTAGGAGAGAAGCTAGAGCCATCAAGGAGGTTGACATTGACAGGTAAGAGTCCGAGAATCACAGTAATAGCAGATGATACTAGTTGAGATTACCGAATACGAACAGCGGCACTTTGACTTAATAACCCTGTTAATTTGCCTGAAGACAAAGGCTATTATAGTATAACCTCATGGCTGCACGCACTCGATCAATCCACACACAACCCAACGAGACTCCCAATAGCTAAAGCGGCACCACATCAGGCTGAATATACGTTAGAGAGCATCGACCATCGACAAGGCTAGCGCACATGCAACCCAAAACGAACTCGACCCTCGAACTCGGCCACATCCAATCGCCAGCCTCAAACCCACCCCAAATCGACAATGACCAGTCATCTACGATCCTCCCCATCAACCGTCATCCACTGAAGTTCACAACCTCAAATGAACGACCATCACACCCCTCACAGAATCACAGTTCGCAGTTCCACACCCACTAGTTGGGAACTTGGGCACCAGGAGACGTGGCCCCAATGCCGACGCAGAATCAACCACACCCTCGTCACACCAGATGACCCATCAGTTTTTCTTTTTTTTTCTCTGTCGTGTCGATGACGATCCACTTGGCCCTCGATCAACGGTGATCGATCACTGGTCTTTCTGGCAGTGCTACTGCCAGGAACTGCAAGCCATCTTTGTTTCAGTTTGGCGTTGCGAGCACCCACTAACGAAGAGAGTTCAGCCTCCTGGTAGGCGAAACTCGCTTCTGGGGGTTTTATTCGTTGCTTGCCCTTGCAGTAACCTTTCATTGCGGGCCCTGGCTTACTACTGACTTTTCGGTAGGAAGACACTAATGATGATGATGACGATATTATTGTCTGACATCAACTTGAAAGGGTGTGGCAGCGGCATATGTCAAACGGCCCAGAAGAGGAATTCGTTGGGCTGAGCGAACTACACTGACCCTCTGGCATTGCTGTGTCTGTGTAACTTTGAAGGCGAATAAAGAAGGGCTCTAGTTGCTTTTCTAAGAATCTACCGGTTTGTTAAAACAGGCAGCCCACATCTACAGAACCTGTCCTCTTCATTACAGAACCCTCTTTGCTAGGACAGCATGGAGCAATCTCATTCCAGTCCATTTGAAGGTTAGCAAATTGCTTCGAGTTCATCATATGCAAGGCTAGTAGACAAAAATCCCAACACCAATCTATGCTTTGACGGGAATCTGAACAAAGTCGTGAACATTTCTCAAGTCATTCATCATCGTAGACAGCATTGATCTCAAAGGCCCGCCTGTCAGCTAATCAATATGTACCGGGAACAGTCTGGAAATGGGGGATATAGAGCAGAAAAAAAGTAGCAATCATAGCACAACGGCATGGACAGCTCGAGCCGTCTGAGATATGAGCAATGAAATTAAGGTATCATCTTGGTTAAAATAGCGCAGAGGTCAAACTGCCCAACATGATCGACAATCTTAATGGCGTTTATATTTCTGAGCAGAAAAGTCAGCAGGCATACTTGAGAGTCATAATTCACCATGACACTTACATCTTCTATCTTTCGGCGATTGCTCGGGTCCAACGTGTTTCCAGCCCCGAGGAGCGTCTGCCCAACGGCCTTGGAGACTCCAATCGCTGGTCGAAGGATAACGGTTGGAGCACGTTTGAAAACAGCCCTAGCGGCAGCTTTCGCGCTACCACTCTCCACGATTTCGCCAGGAACAGCAACGATGGCGTCCCGTGCGAGAAGCAAGTCCCTTTCCAACCCGCGGAACGCACCCCGGAGGCCTTGTACCACACCCACGGGTTGATCCGCGTAGGGCGAAATCTTGTTCGCCTCCTCTTCGTCAATCATGTCTTCTTCAGAGCCCAGTGTCGGCGCAGTCGGTGTGGTCAGCATCTCCTCAGCTCCTTGCAAAACCGTTTGAGTGCCAATGGCAAGCTTGGCACCAAGCTTCACGAGTTCATTAGAAGTGGTCTTGGCAAAAGCGAGCGCCCCTTTCTGGATGCTTCGGACGAGCCGGCCGTCCTTGCGATACTCTCGCATAGGAACCACGACGAGGTCTTTAACACCGCCTCCCACATTGACTAGAGATCTGATGGGAGCCAGGCCAGCAAGAACACCCGGAAGTTGATTTCTCTTGATGTCTGGCATCCATATGTCATTGAGCGTCTGACCCAGTTTATCAAAACCGGACACTCCATAAATGATGACGTGCCGCATGACCATATCCGCGCCATCAAGGACAAAGAAGTTCATGAACTCGGTTGTCCGGCCTGATCTGAGCCCAGCGTAGTCTACGCGCTTGGGCTTGAAGTCAAGTTTGACAGGCACAGCGTTAACTTCCACTCGTTGCAAGAACGGAATGTCGGCTGGTGAACTCGGTGTGAGTGCAGAGTCATCCCTGAACTCAAAAAAGCGGCAGATAAAGTCAAGGGCATCCTGGTCTACGTGCAGTCTCAAAGGGAGAAGAGTTGCCTGTAACATGTTAATACAGCTGTTCAGATCACACAACCGGGCGACAAAGTGCTGACCTTGAGAACAAGCTCGGACGCTGCCAGCTCTGGAACAGGCCGCACAGTCAACATTTCCAAATGAACCATGCTGGCCCCACTTTCCCTCTCGCCTGCCTCATGCATATACGTCGCGAACTTCTTCCATGTCGACGTAGGAACGTGGTCGAAGATTTCCAGGTCGTTCACACGCACGTCGAGCGAACTCTGCGTCTCTTCAGAGCCAGGAGGGAAGACGACGAAATCCGCGCAAATGCCTTTCAGCTCAAACGTCATCTTGTGGTATTTACTCCTAGACAATTTCAATCTCCTTCCTCTATACGAAGGCGACTGGCCTTGACGCGCGGTGGCCCCAGTGACAGTTGTAGTTGTCGCATAGCTGCCTGTCTCGCTGGCAAGATCGTCAATGTTATGATTGATATCGTTGCGAAGCTCTCGAGGATCCTTGTTGGCAGGGATTCCAATATATATGGAGTTGAACAGACAGTCGCCTATAACCGATTCCTCTTCTTCCTCGAAACCTGGTGAGGCCCGACTGCCAGCTCGGGCGCGCCGCTCCGTGGCTCTCTTCTCCACGTCTTTCACAGCTTTAGAGATAGTATCTCTCGTTCGCTGCCAGTCGTACCCATCAAACAGATTCCAGATAATATGAGCATCCCGGACTCTGATCCGCAGCGGACTTTTACGGATCTTTGAGTCGTCGGTTAAACCATATGTGTTTTGAGTAGAATCCCAACGATGAGCCGTTCCTCCTACAGCAGAATGGTTGGCGAAATGGTCTTCCTTGAATTCGAGATCCGAGACGCTGGAGGATACATAGTACTGCGAATGGAAGCTGTCCAAAAGATCATTCGACTCCGATGGCACTGCGCTCTCATTGGGGGGCAGGTTATCTGGACCTGACTTCACAGGATAAAAGTCGCTCACATACTCAAGCTCGTCTTCTATGCCTGGCCCTCCGTCCTCGGGCTCAACAATAGTAGGAGCTTCCGGAATCTCTGCCTGCTCAGGTGGCGGATCCATGGCGAATGCGTCTCCAGAAAAAGAAGCCAGCATATCCTCTATAGGCAAAACTTCAGTCCGATATTTGACGGCCACACTTGGCGGTGTGGGAGGCTGCAACCCATTTATGATGCTGATGAGGGTCTGCGTTGAATCGGCACAGGTCTCAAGTATCAATAAATCATCCTTGAGCTCCACGTCTAACGACTTCGTCCCGTCGTCGTCCAGCTGCATCAACTTGACTGTGGCCATTGCCGACGATATGGAAGATACCGGGACAAACCCCATATCGATGAAGGACTGAATCTGGTCGCTCTGCGGAATTGTTGATCTACCACGGTGAAGATTTTCCGCCAAACCCATGTTCTTGACATCATCAATGAGCATGATGGACGCCTTTTTGATATCCAGCATTGCTTCTGAACACCCACTGTCGGAAATAGCCGCTGAAAACTTAGCATTCGTTAACACAACCAGGCCCTTCGCCGTTGTACCGCGAGGATTTAGTCCAAGGACGCAGTCCCGTAGGGCAAATGCAAGCCTGCTTGGCTTTGCGGACGCTTGCCTGCCTTTTGAACCAATTGAAATTTCAGAAGCGTTTCGATGTAAGTGCTGCGATTCGGCAATATTGGCCAAAGAATTGGCCATATTAGCAGCGACATCTCCTGTCGTCTGGTCCTCACTCAGCCCAAGGAACGCGATGATGGACGGTATGGTATATTCGACGCGTAAATTGTGAGATTTGATCTTAATAGTTGGATCCATCTCATCGGCGATGTAGCGAGCCATCAGTATGGGAAGTTGGCTCTGGTTCTGACCCTGGCTCCCGCTTGCCGGTAGTGCTTCACCCACGAGCTCCTCGCTCCCGTTTCGTACGACTTTGATTGTCCCCAGTTGCGCAGCGATGAGAGACGGCATGCTGATATAAGCAGCCTCAGCGTTTCTGAGATGCGTCGTGATATTTCCGACAGGGCCACCCAGGTAGACTTGAGATTCAAGTTCTCGAATGAGAGTGAGAGTGAGGATGCCTGGGCGATCATCTTCAGGTAGATACTTTGCGACGGTAGATAACTTGCCCAATTCCTCTTCAAGTTGAGAAAGTGACTCGAGGTCACTGGTGCGCGAGACGACGATCTTCGCACCCGCGACTGTAGTACGAAGAACAGAACCTTGTCTACGCTGGCGAAACAGCGTGTCCAACATAATGTCATCATCTTCGTCATACTTATCTTTCGACGGCGTTATTATTGCCAACAGCCTGTCCAGATCGGGTTCCTTGGGGGAGTAGAGAAACTCCACGCGGATGTTGCTCAGGTTGATTTTTGCCGGCGCATCTCTTGAGTCGTCGAGAGGTAACGGGCCACTCAGCTTGGCTTTGTCAATCTGCACACCTATACCCTCGAACCGGCTGACAACCTTGACGGCTGTCGTTTTCAACCTGAGATAATGTGTCTCACCGGCAACATCAAAGACAATTCCACCCACCCGAGCGTTCACTTTCCAGGAGAGTTGGGGATTGGCTTGAAGGTTATTCTCAGGCGGCGGTGAGCTCTCGAAATGCACGCCACGAGCCCGCCTTTGGGAATCCCTCTTCATGTTTTTACCGCTGGAGACGGAGGAGATTGAATTTCCGAGCTCCAGAATAGTACTGAGGCCGCCAACCCGCCCGAAGACTTCTTCCAGGCGCTGAACATTAAGATATAGCCGGAGAGGAAGTGTTGTAATGGTGAGGCTTGCAGAGTCGGAAGACTTGGTCAGAGAAAGGGAGATATCACCATTCACAGGTGATAGGACATCTCTTGTGGACTCCCGCATCTTCAAGCTTTCACTGAATGAGATCAAGTCATCCGAGGCGAAGCCGAATACGAACTTTGAGACGTCTAGGCCAAACTTTGTAACGTTTTTATCAGCCAAATAGCGGGCCGTTAGACCTGATGCCGTCGCTCGTAGAATAATATCTTCATGGGGCAAGCCAAAAGGTGACGAGGAATGGGGGTCATAGTCGTTGAGAGCATATGTTTGACCGGGAATGTGATCAACGTATTTGATGCAGAAGTTATGGAGAGTGAGAGCGAGACTGTGTCGGGTCTGCACAGATTCTGGTGCGGGTTTTCCACTGGAAACATTCCCGCCGTCACGAAAGGCATGAAGAACCCTTTGGCCGGTCTTGACAACAAGCCACCCAATCGCATTATCGAATCGTACATCTACAGCTGATATTTCGACAGCAATGTCACCCGGCTGAGATTTCGAGATGGGACCGTGATCGGCCTTGTTTGCCTGACGAGGCGGCGATCTGGGCAGGGTGCCCTCGAATGAAGGTTCTGAGCTGATCGAGTCGCTGCGAAGCCGTGCAGAAGCATACATGGTGGAAGAGAGCAATTCGGATTCGGTTGATGAATGACCAGAACGCATTGCTGAGTCTTTCAGGCTGTCACTTGCTGAATTTACGTCTGCTGAACGGACAGTCTCATCTGTATGACGTCTATCTTCACCAACAGGGATAGATATCGATATTCGATCAATACGGAGAAACCGCTTGGCAACATCTGAAAGCTTGCTCAGCGTAGGCGAGAGCGGTGTCAAATCAGGTTCCCGTGCCTCAGACGGACACTCACTTTGTTCGCCGAATGATCGTTTCTCTGTAAGGGCCGAGGCTGCCTGAGCAGTGAGCTTAGGCGTAGATATCAATGTTTCATCTTGCACATCCTGTTTTGCATCTGCCGCGTCTGTGAGCTGCGTTCCTGCGTGCACATCTCGTACAACTGTTGACTCCGGCAGATCCCAAGCGCCTGGTATATTGGGAACGAAACTTCTACTCGAACCATGACTGATAGCACTCATGTACATACTCTGAGCCTCTTCATTTGAGAATAACTTGGACTCAGATAGTTCCCCGCCATTGGCAACATCAGATGAGCCTACGCTGCCAGATTCAGAAGGAGGCGCTGTTTGCCTGTCTGAATTTTCTCGCGAGGGCAAAGAGCCTGAAGGAGAGGAGGCAGAATGTGACACATCCGGGGTTGCAACGTGATCAGTCTCGAGGTAAGGCTGACTGCCGTGTGGGGATCTGTCCATGAAGGATCCATCACCGTAATGTGAGAAGGGAGCTGTATGCTCCGTGTCAATGTTTGACGGTGAAGTCTCGCGGTGCATGTGCACCTCGGGTGTCTGAGAGCGCAGGGTTTCACTGCTGGGAGGAAACTGATCATCTTGAGGCACAAGGTCCTCTGGTGGTTCTAAATCATCGTCATGCAACTGGGAGTCAATGACGGAGTCAAGATATGCAGGGTTGTCTAATAATTTATCATCGTCCAAAAACTGCTGCGAGCCTTCCAGGTATCCATCACTTCGATTCTCATCGTCGGTATCGGCATCAGAAAAGCGCCCATCATATGTGTAGGCGGATCCTTCCATTCGACCAACACCGGGTTCTTCTATATCCTGAATCGAATGTTCTTGCGATGGCTCCAAGATTGTCGACCGCGTCATAGCTAGGACGGAGTCCGCATCGGATGCTTGCCCGGGCAAGGGCGACGGAATCCTGCTCGAAGGCTCGCTTGACTTTGGCTGCACGGGTGTAGTCGGCGAAGTGGGCGGAGCGAATCGGGAATAATTCGAGAAAACTATCGGTTCAGATATCAAAGCCATGTTGATGTCAGAAATGACGATGGGCCGGTTCCGATTACGAGAAAGCTTCTCTTCCTCAGAACTGGACGTTGCGCTGCTCACAGCACCGACGGAGACCTCCCGCACAGTAAGAAGTCCCGTCACGTTATCAGGTTTATTCTCTGGTTCTCTCTTGACGACTCCCTCCTGCTTCGTTTCCATATCGACTCGTATTGACACATTATCGACCTTGACCTGCAGGCGCTCCGCGACTCCCTTCAAAAAAGCAGCAACAAAACTGGGCAGCGATACACCCTCGTTTCCTAGACCAAGTTCCTCCTCATCGTCACTGATGGACGCTGATGTACGGTGTAACACCTGTGATCGAGATGTGATAGCAGCTTGTAGTTCCTCTTTTTCCTCTTTCGGTTCGGCATCGAGGAACGACTCCGCAAGATCGGCCGGAGTCGGAAGAATGTGATCGCTACTAGAGTCATGGGTACCAGCTTGAGATGGCCTCCGACTATTCGGATTTTCATCCTTTGCTGCGCCGAAAGATTCTTCTGATGGTAGTTGGAGATGCACATTGATTCCGCTAGCCTCGCAGATGATACCGCTACTGTAGATATCCGCAGGAACGGTGATCTTGAGAAACTGGACCTTAGCACTCAGCAGTTCACTCGAGGCGGGGAGCTGAAGAAGCGTAGCTAGTTTCTGTTTAGAGATATCATAGTTGTTAGTTATACATTGTCCACTGAGCGCAAGGTGGGTGGATTTGTCTAGTAGTATGTGTTGTCTGCCGACGATATAAACTCACCTCAAGCCTCAAGCCTATATCCCGAAGTTCGACAGTGCTTCGTTGACCCCATCGGATTCCCAGACTATCTAAATCTAGTGCTTCGGTGTCGACAAGCTCGAGCCGAGACAAGGCATATCGGAGCAACCGTTTCTGGAAGAATGAGGGCAAGAAGTAAGCCATCTTGGGCGAAACGAGCCAACCGGCGGCTCATTTAGGAGTTTCGAATGTCATCGGAGCAGGGGCGTAATAAAATGAAGATGACCGTTTTGAAGTCGGTTTTGTAAATGGAGAATCCCGCAAAGGCAAAAGTTGACGCGGAGGGTTGATTGATTGATAGATAGGATGACGTTCCGGGGGGGCTGATAGCAGATAGCGATGATCAACCCGCAAAAGTCAGGCGGAGCTAACGCGGAGCCAAATCACACTGACAACGTGCGTGTTTGTTGATGGTTCCTGGAGATACTGAGTTGTCTTAAACCCTTTCCTTCCAAACAAAGATTGTAAGCTTTGTGAGGGTGTCGAAAAGCTCTCTGGTTAATACTATTTTGCCTCTCAACAACAGTGGCAAGTGATGTCGACTCTACGGAGTAACTCCCCAAGACCCTCGCCCATCTCTAGTTCTCGGACACGCCAAGGATTAGGATGCCTGGGGAACATGGCATGTTATACCCGTTCGGGACAAGCACCAGGCTATCCCATATCAGTTCCCCGACATCTCGTGCTGTGACTCAGAGATGAAATAAAAGCAATAAGTTGCGTACTCCGTAAGCATCCAAATGTATATTTCTAAAAGATCTGTCGCATCCCTCACCTTTTGAACTGGCTCATAGATTACTGAATTCTCCTTTATCTTCGCTGGCATTGTCCTCTTCATGATCACGTGGTCATGGCGACTGCATGGGTATAAGAATTACACTCAAGCCCTATTTCAAGCTTGTGAAAGGGTGGAACATGCCGTTAAGTGGCTCTCTTGGATGGAAGCGGTGACAAGTATCTGGACCTTCAGAGCCCTTGATGGCATTACTTATGAGATTGAATCCACACGCTATTTAACAGCCCATCACGTGAAAAATCGCAAAATGAATATGATAAAAATACAGTTCCCATGATTTGCAGGAATAAATGAGGATACGCATCTTACCTCACTGACTAAGGTACTTGCCCTCCTCCGTAATCAGCAGACCCGCGATAGCCGCACTGGTAAAAGTAGCCAGGGCGCCGGTAATCATGGCACTAACTGCAACACGGGACACATCGCCCGCACGTTGGGGGGCAAGTTGATTAAGCACACCAATTTGGTTACCCAGGGAGCCGATGTTGGCGAAACCGCAGAGAGCATACGTTACGATGATCTGAGAGCGGACGGAGAGTTCCTGATACTCGGGCTTGGTTTGAAGGTCGCTATAGGCGACGAATTCATTCTGAAGATGACTGAGTTAGTGTCTGGTCCCCGCTAAAGGTGAGTGGAGGTTTAGAGGATATAATCTTACCATGACAAGCTTCACACCGATCAGTTTGCCCACTTTGAGCAGATCGCCGTCGCGGGAGACGCCGAGAAGGAAGGCAATGGGATAACAAATGTATCCAAGAATCAGGTCGAGGGTCAAGGGGGGGTCGTTGATGTTGAGGTAACGTCCCCACCAGGTCAACAGTCCGTTGATCAAGGCAACGAAGGAGATGATACAGAGGAGGGTTGCCCCAATGGTACCCGCAATCTTGATGCCGAGCCAAGCACCGTTGGCGAAAGCGTGAAGCGCATTTTCAGCTTTGTGTTCCTCGTCCTCGGGCACGACGACACGGCCAGCCGTCAGAGTTTCTTCCTCCTCAGGCCAACGCAGCTTGGATGCGGCCAGAGAAGCAGGGATACTCATCACACAGGAGGAAACCAACGCTTGAGGGTTAACGCCCATTCCAATGTAGGCGACCAGTACGGAGCCTGCAATGGTAGCGAAACCGGAGCACATCACCTGGTGGATTTCGGCCATGGTAAGGTGCGCCACGAACGGTTTGATAAGCATGGCCGATTCACCTTGTCCGATGAAAGGGGAGGCAGCAGCCACGACGGCCTCGGCGCCAGAGACGCGCATACTCCAGAAGAAGAAGACGGCGAATTTACCAATAGCCCACTGGAGGACGCCGGAGTAGTACAGGAGCTGCACAAGAGATACGAAGAAGATGATAGCCGGGATGACGGTCACCAAGAACCACTTGTGTTTGCTTGCGAAGTCAGTCTCCGTCAAGAAATCAACGCCGTCGTCGGCAAAGCCCAGAAGTTCTCTGGCCAGTGTCGAGACGAAGTTGAAGATGTCGTAACCCGCCCTGGTACGAAGCACAAAGAGAGCAACAATGAATTGCACCAGCATTCCTACAATGACGGTGTGCCAGACGATCTTCTTGCGGTTTCTTGACGAAAGCCACAAGGCGAAGACGAAGACGACAAGTCCGAAGAGACTGACAGCTCTGTTGGCTCTGGTGTTATCGGCAGTCTCTTCCGACGCAAATGAGCCGACCAGAATGACCGCAATCGTCAAGAGCGCCGCGCCGGGAATCCTCAATTTCTCGGGGATCAGGCGAACGAATGGCCGAGCGGTATGGTCCCAGACCCAATAGGTTGGTCTGGTCACGATGGACACGGGCACGTAGAGGGTAAGAAGCCGCAAGGTGATGCACAGATACAGCAGGAACGGGATGAGCCAGCCCAAGTCATGCCGATGGAGGATCAAACCAGCAATCCACCATCTAAGAGGGACGACAACGGATGAGTTTCGATTTTGATCAAACAGGACTGCCAGAAGATGCGGTGCAGTCGAAAGGGAAGACAACTCACCCGGTGAACAAAAGCCACACGACAGCGTACACGACATGCTTGGTGTACCTGCTATAGCGGCGATAGAAGGGCCGCGATGGATAGCTTTCACCTGCTTCCTCGAGATCTTTCGAACTCTGGCTATGAGCGTGCTTGTCCTCCACAGTCGGGTCCTGAACCAGGCCTTTGACATCTTTGGCATAGATCACATCATCATCTGGACCCTTCTCGGCCAGTCCCGAATGGTGGGGATGACCGTGGTGATGTTGATTTGTGGGATCCAGCGCAGGATCTGCATGTCGCGTTGTCTCGTGGGGAGATGCCTCGTTCACCTCCATAGCCTTGTCGTCCGCCATTTGTGGTCCCGTTCCTATTGCACAATCACTAATTCCAAGAATGCGACAACCTTTCAAGGGTGTCCAAAACGTCTTCTCCGGAGAAAAGAGACGCAAAAGAAGTTGGCGGCAACCAAGTCAATTTAACTTCGGATGGGGCTGGAGATAGCTGTCGGATAAGATGGAGAGGGAGAAACCGAGACAGGAGATAAAACTCTCTTTTGAAGCCAACAGGAGACGAGCGTTGCGCCCAGATTCCAATTGATCGACTCGGGTTTCTCTCTTATCAGACAAGCAGGTGCGGGGAGATTACACAAGTTGCATATTCTAGCAAAGTGTGAAATTAGCCACCACAGCAATTCGATTGATTCGTTGATCCGTCCGGGGTTTGGAAATGCCCTTGAGCAGGAAAGATGGAATTTAGTGCTCGTCGCCGACAAGGATCATGATAAAACAGGTGAGAAAACTGAAAAGAAAATTCTCTCAAGGGCTACAGTTGTTCGCCTTGGTGGCTAAGGAACCAAGTATAGCTGTGCATGAGGCCAAGGTCGAGGCGTCTGGTAACTTATCTTCCCGCCCCGATAATTTTTTTCACTTTTCAGCAGTGTAGCGAATGAAGACCCAGCGATGCCCTCGACAGTTGATAAGAGTTTCCGGTGTTACAGCACTAAAAAGGACATGGGCCGAAGTCTGGAGGAAATTCTGCAAGGAGATTGGCGGCTGATCAGCGAGTGTAGCCGTGACCCGCGCTTTTTTTCTCCGCTCCGTCCTCACGCGGTTCATCGGTCGTGTGCCTCATGCCTTTTGACGGTATTCAGTACAAGTTCTTGGTATTCATTTATCGTTGCATTCGGGAGCCTGACTCGCTGTCGACATTGGTTTCTACGGGCCGATAGACTGCAGCATCTAAGGATACATTTACTGCGACTCTTGCCATGCAAGCTGGCAGTATACCTCATTCTGTCGTCGCGTTAAACTCCTGAGAATTGCTTTTGATTGTGCTTGTGGGAAATAACCGTTTACTGGTGAACTGTGGACATTGACTGGGCTTAAGGGCTAAAGCTTGTGGGGTCTTTCCAGCTAAAAATTCTACCCGCCACCCTCAGACAACCTGCCTATGGATCAAGCTAACTAAACTATGTCGCAGAATGGCTTACGGCGCCCCAGGAAAACAGCAGAGAACTGGAAAAGAAAAATAGAACGGTCCAGAAAAAGCCCCAGTGCGTCGAATCAGAAGTTTCCATGACACCTCGATGGGCTCGTTTACTAGGATAGGTATTTTATGCCCGGTACTAACTAGGTCAAATATTGCCGCAGTTACTCCGTGGACTGCTGGTTCGATCCTCGGAAGTTCTCAAATTCCTGATGATAAGCTTGCCCTTACCTTTGTTATCATAAACTCTGTGAAAACAGGCTGAGCTGAGTGTATCTGAATCACCCCTGTCAGCCATTCAGTTTTAGTATTGTGCCACCTTGGCACGTGAACACCTGCGATATAAGATCGGAGATCTCCGATGAATACGGCTTCTCAGTGAGGTTGGAGCTGAGAATTGAGACTCCTACTCTGCAGATGATGGGCCCTTGATCCTTTGTGAACTCTTAGTTGATCTTATCGTCTTCGAGTCCCTATGATAAGGAATACTGATAGCAATCGAGAAAATATATGGTACCAGCTGTTAATTATTGTGCTGTCAAAACCCTAAGAATCCTCTTTGACCCATAACGGGTAGTCCCAGGTTTGCATTATTATTGAATAAGCTCCAGACCCGCGAGTTGGTGAAGTGGAATTTAATTCTACCAAAAGGAAGTTGGCCTCGGGCTGAGCGACATTACGGGCAATCTCATTTTGCCACCCCGGATTCTGTAGTCATTACGTACCATCTCTGTAAGGTATCTCCCACGTGTTTCTCCAGCTTTCAAGTTACCATGGAGTATCACGATCCAAGGTTTGTTTGAGATTGAATGCTGTGAATTGGCCTCGAAGCTAGCATGGAACTCCGACGGGGGATAGTGCTTAACTAATAGCGTTTCACGGTGAT